GTGAGTTATTTGAATTCATTCCCCAAGATATCCCAAGCACAGCTATTCTGTTTTCCCTTCTGTCACCCTAATGCAAGCCACATCCCCTCTCTAAGTGACAGCAACACCTCCCTAACCAGTATCTTAATCTCCACCCACAAGAGCCCATTCGCCACAGGGCAATCTCTGTGCAGCCTAACTCAGATCATCATCCTTCATGACCATCACCCTTCATGACCCCATGATCCCACCCCCACCCCCACCCCCAGCAGCCCTCCTGACAGTGTCTCCAAGCACTACTGAACCTCGCTTCCGACTCCTCCCCTGCAGCACACGGCCCGGCCCCCGGCCTGCCTGCTGCTCCTGCTGCCGAGCCGTGCCCCAGCTGCCACCCTCCGCCTGCACTGCTCACGCCCAGAACTTCCTGTGGTTGGTTCCCCGTGGGTCACACAGGCCTCCCGTTAAACATGGCTTCTCAGACCTTTCTCGCCGTTCACTCTAACGCGCCCCTGGGGGACTCCCTGCCATTGCATTTGCTCTCATCATAACTGGCATCACTCCCGGGTTTTTCTGTTTTCCCTTCTGGGTTTATCTGCCTACTCTCTGCTTCTCTACACTAAGGTGAGCGCTGTCTCTCCCGAGCTCCTACAGCAGTGCCGGCACGAGTTCCTGTACCTGAAAAGATTTCCGAAGCTTAACTATCCCCCGACCATTTCACACTTACGAGGGAAAGATGCTCTCTTGGATCAACTGTACCAACCTCTGCCATTCATTCATCCAACAAACATTTACAGCCAAACTGTGGGCTGTACTACAGGGCTACAAATGCCAACAGGACACGACCCTTACCCCAGGAGTCCGTGGCCTGGTTAGGAAAATACGTTTACAAATTGTCATAAATACCACGAGGTAAGTAACGGGGAGCACGGCTGAGGACTCCCGGCCCCAACTCAGAGTCATCAGAAACCTCTTCCGGGATCAAACGAGGAGCTGAGGTTGAAAAGGACAGAAAATGGGGCAGGAGAAGCAAAGCGCACGGACTCAGAGGCAGACACAGGCGGTCTGGGCAGTAGGAAAAAGTCCAGGGCACAAGCTGGTGAGACGCGATTGACAATCAGGCAGTAACTGGACAGAGACGGAAGCCTGTGGCTGTGGCTCAGGGCAGCGAGTCAGCAGGGTCAGAGTGGCGTTTCAGTGAGGTCAACCGTGGCTCTGTAGGAGACTCAACTGAGGTCGCGGGGCCGGCGCTGTGGCACAGCAGGTTTAAAGCCCTGGCCTGCAGCATCAGCATCCTATAAGGACACTGGTTTGAGTCCCAGCTGCTCCATTTCCCATCCAGCTCTCTGCTATGGCCTGGGAAAACAGCAGAGGATGGCCCAAATCCTGTCCCTGCACCCACTTGGGAAACCCAGAGGTGGCTCAGCTCCGGCCACTGCAGCCATTTGGGGAGTGAACCAGCGGATGGAAGACCTCTCCCTCTCTCTCCCTCCCTCCCTCTCCCTCCCTCCCTCTCCTTCTCCCTCCCCCCACCCCCGCCTCTACCTCTCTCTGTAATTCTTTCAAATAAATAAAATAAAAATCTTCAAAAAAAAACTCTGAAGCCACACTGAAGCCACAGGGGTCAGGACGCTCAGGTCAAAAGCTGGTAGGAGCAGTAAGTGGGCTAAAAGTGGACCCAGAGCCAGGAAAGATCTAGGTAAAATGTGCAGGACTTGGCAGCAGGACACAGATGTGGAGAAGGGAGAGGAAAGGAAAGGGAGAAGAAAGAGGAGTTGGGAGTAGTGAGGTCAGGGGCACCGGAGGCTGCTCCACCGCGCACACGGCCCAGGCTCGGGCACACGAGGACTTCTGTCCAGGCTCCGTCACCCACTTACAGAGTGACTGCGGGAGTTCCTGGGACCTCTCCAAGTTTCAGCTCCTGTGTAAGCTAAACGGGGACAGGCACAGAACTGACTCCACGGGGTCACTAGAATAACTAACTCACATCCTATAAAGCACTTAGCATAGTGACTGCTATACAGAAACGCCTTTATAACGTTTATCACTGACTGATGATGGATGAACTGTCCCTGTTCCTGGACAAGGCCAACCCCTCTACTTATGCACAAGAGCCCACCCCTTCCCGCCTCCATGGCTCCACCAACTCCGCTGTCCCCACTGAGCTATTCCTATCCACAGTCAACTCTGTGACAATCCTCAGAGCTTCCCCGGGTCCAATCTCCCTCTACCAGCCCTCTTCTTCCCTTGGCAGAAAACCTGCCCGAGTCACAGATCCCTCTCCTCCCACTGCAGCCGAACGTTCCCCTGCACATCTCCACAGAGGTGCCCTTGTCCAGATCCCGTGTTCGGTCTGGCTTGGCCTATGTAGTAGCGGACATGGACGACCACTCCCTTCTCCCATGCACACTTCATCGCATGACCGCCAAGGGGCCAGCCCTACGTTTTCTTCCATCTCTCTGGCTCCTCTTCTTCAATCTCCTTTGCCAGGTATCCCTCATCTTTCCAACCAGTAAATGCTGAAACACTCAAGGTCCAACACGCCCCTCTACACTCCCTTAATAACCTCACCAAGCTGCACTGCTTTAAATCCCATCTGTACACCATTAGCTCAGAAATGCCTACCTGTGGGGCTGGCGCTGTGGTATATCGAGTAAAGCTGCCATCTGTGGGGCCGGCACCCCATATGGGAGCCAGTTCCAGTCCAGGCTGCTCCGCTTCTGATCCAGCTCTCTGCTATGGCCTGGGAAAGCAGTGGAGGATGGTCCAAGTGCTTGGGCCCCTGCACCTTCATGGGAGACCTGGAAGAAGCTCTTGGAGGCCACTTGGAGAGTGAACCAGTGGATGGAAGACCTCTCACTCTCTTTCTCTCTCTCTCTCTCTCTCTCTCTGCAACTCTGCCTTTCAAATAAACATCTTTTTAAAAAAAATGCCTAATTTAGACTTTCAGGAGCAATCAATCCCTTGGAACTCTTGACTCCCATAATCAAGTGTCTGCTCCACTTCGCCACCTCAACAGTCAGTGTATCTCAAGGTTCATGTGTCCCAAAACGAGCTTGTAATGCTCGCCTCAGAACCCTCCCACAGGATGAGCACTTGGTGCAGAGGCTGACAGGCGTGGGGCACCTGCATCCCTATCGGCACGTTCTGCCGGGTCCCAGCCCCCTGCCTCTCATCTCTCCCTGCTCCTGATGTGCGCCGTGGGAGGCAGCAGATCAGGGCTCAAGTACTTGGGCTCCGCCGCCCGCACGGGGAGCCACACTGAGTTCCTGGCTCTCGGCATCAGCCTAGCCCAACTCTAGCTGGTGCAGGCATTTGGGGAGTGAATCTGAGGATGGAAGATCTCTTGGTCTCAATCTTTCAAATAAAATGAAAAGTAAATACATATTTTAAAAAATGTATTAACACTCTCTAGGAGCCCCCGTATCAGTGAGCAGCAACCCCACTCTGCCAGTCAACTACCCTGGAATGGCTTCTAACCATCACTGCGCACCTTGAATCAGCACAAGCCTCCCAGAGAAATGACTGCTAACGCAGAAAACAGATTAAAAACAAAACCACCACACAGCACACGGGCGTCTGAAGGTACCGCAGAGCCAGCGAGATGGTCTAGGACCCGAGGGTCCGGGGTCCCAGAAGGGCCAGGTCCAGCGAGGTGAACTCCACTGCTCCTTCTCCGTGGGGCAGCTGCCTCTTCTGGGCAGGTTGAGAGCAAGCAGAGGGCCCGGCGCCGTGGCTCACTGGGTTAATCCTCCGCCTGCGGTGCTGGCATCCCATATGGGCTCTGGGTTCTAGTCCTGGTTGCTCCTCTTCCAGTCCAGCTCTCTGCTGTGGCCAGGGAGTACAGTGGAGGATGGCCCAAGTGCTTGGGCCCTGCACCCCAGGGGAGACCAGGAGAAGCACCTGGCTCCTGGCTTCGGATCAGCACAGCGCCAGCCATAGCGGCCATTTGAGGAGTGAACCAATGGAAGGAAGACCTTTCTCTCTGTCTCTCTCTCATTGTCTGTAACTCTACCTGTCAAATAAATAAATAAATCTTAAAAAGAGAGAGAGAGAGAGAAAAGCAGAAAGCACTGGCTCCAAGGTGTCAGAAGCCTTTCAGATCTGGGGGGACTAAAACCCGAGTTGAGGGGCAGGCATTGTGGCGCAGCAGTTACAAGGCTGCTCGGAAGCCCACCATCCCAAATCGGAGAGTGCCTGGTTCAAGTCCCAGCAGCTCCGCCTGGATCCAGCCTCCTGCCAAGGCACACCCGGCGAGGGAGGCAGCAGGTGGCGGCTCAAGCTCTCCCAGGTCTCTGCCACCCTCACCCACACGGGAGCCCCCAGAGAGTGCCAGGCTCCTGGCTTCAGTCTGACCCAACCCAGAGAGGCACTGGGGAGTGAAACAGTGGACGGAAGACCCCCGTGTCTGTTTCTCTGCCTCTTAAATGAGTGAAAACACATTTTAAAGGAAAACTGGAGTTGAGGACTACACGGGACTAGAAGGGACACGACCCAGAGAAATGACGCTCATGGAGAATCAGCCCAGTATCTGTTCGGCTTTAAGATTTATTTGTTTATTCGAGAGGTAGAGTTACAGAGAGCGGGAGACAGAGAAAGGTTTTCCACCCACTGGTTCACTCCCCAAATGGCTGCAAAGGCAGGAGCTGGGCCGATCTGGTCCCCGGGTCCCTGCACCCACGTGGGAGACCAGGAAGAAACCAGCGGATGGCATTTCCCGCTTTAAAAACAAAAACAAACACACACACACACACACACACACTGAGCTGCCTGAGGTCCCAGGGCCAGCACACGGCAGAACCAGGCTTAAATTCGAGGGAGCACTTGGCTGACCCGTCGAGATGCGACCGCAAACGCAAACCCGGGTCACGAGGGACGAAACCCTCCCACACCGCACTGGACACTGCAAGGCACGACCACTCCGCGGGGCCGCGGGGGCTGCACTGACCACAGCCCAGGGCCTGCGGGACCCCGCAGACTACAACCGCCCGCGCCTCTCCCCACGTCCCGTCTGCGGGGCGGCCCTCGGGGCCCTGACGCGCCGCGCAGACACGGAGGGCGGAGAGACGGCGCGGCCGGCGGCGGTGGCCCGCCCCGGGGCGGGGGACGCGCGAGGAAGCCCGGCCCCGGCCACGTAACAGAGCGCGGAGCCCGGCTGCCGGGGGCGTGTGGTCGGAGGGGCTCCCCGTGAGTGCGGCGGCAGGACATCAGCCCAGGACGCCCCGCGAACGAAGGGCACGTGGGCCCGCGAAGATGCAGCCGACACCAGCCCTGCCCAGCCACGCGCGGACGCAGCGCCCGAGACCGCCGCCATCGCGTCGCAGGCCTCCAACACCGCCATGGCCGCCTCCTTAGCGAGACGGCGTCCAGCGCGCAGGCGCAGCCGCGGAGCGCCCGCCCGGGGGCGGGGCCAGGGGCCGGAAGTGCCCGGCGCCGCGGGCCTTCCCGGGAAACCCGCCGGCCGGAACAACCCGGATGTCCCGCCCCCAAGCGGAACCCCAGGTTGCTGGGCAACCGGCGCGGGCGCCGCGGGCTGGTCCTGCGGAGCCTGGGGGCGGCCGAGCGTCGCTCTCGCCGCGCGTCCGGGCAGCCTCCCGCCCAGCCCGCTTCCCTGGTCGCTGCCCTTCGTCGCGTCGCCCAGCCCCTGCCCTTGGCACTACTTACACGTCTCCAGCTCCCACGACGCCTTAGCGCCCACCTGCTTCAAAGCCAAGCTCCACCGAAGGCGGGGCAGCCCCACGCCGGACATGGCCTCCACGGTGACTGACCGGGGCTCTCGGGCCATGGGCACCTACACCTACACCAGCCGGCCCCGGGCCCTGCCGTGCCAGCGCCGCCGCTACCGGGACAGACTCCTGCAGCCGTGAGTGACCGTGGTCCGCGCGTGCGCCCGCCCCGGGGACGGGGTCCTGCCCACCCCGGGGGTCCCTCCATCCTCCGGGCCCCCGACCCTGGTACCCAGTGGGAACCGCGGGGAGCCGGGAGTGAGCCTGCCATCCCGTGCAGAACCCCGGGTGGTGTCTCCGTTGGCCGCGCCTGTTTGCAGGCGCAGAGACGTGCGTGTTTGGAAAAGACCGAGAGCGTGGCGGGGCCGTGGAATTCCTCTCCTGAGCCCCGAGTTTCGCGAGTGGGGGGGAGATCTGGCAGGAGGGCGCGCCCTGTGTCCCGGCCAGTGTGGGCGCGCGTGGCGACCCGAGTCTGCATTGGATCGCGCAGACACTGTAGCGAGATGCCCATCGCTCTGCGGAAACCAAGGCGGAGCACTGGCGCTTGCGGAGGGAGTGGCTTAGGTTGCCAGAGGATGCGGGGAGCAAGGACGGCTTCCTGAAGGCCCGCACTGCCGTGCAGGCCGGCCCGCAATTAGCAATGAGGAGGAGCCTCGCAGTGGCTCCCTGGCGGGTTTGTGAGTGGACTGGGGTGGACTGAGGAGGGTGTGGAAGCAATGCAGGAGCGCTGGCTCCTAGTCCTCGCCGTCCTGGGCGTCTGTGGCTCAGGTGTTGGAAGAGTCCGGGGAAGGCTCTGGGTAAACCTGCCGGAGGAGACTAGGTGCCTGGCGGGGTGGCCCGAGCCTGCGCCTGCAGCAGCTCGGAGACCAGAAGGCTGGTAGAGCCGGTTGCGTTGAAGTAGGTTCTCAGGCAGGAACGGGCCGGTGAGGGGAGACAGGGCAGCCCTCCTTCCCGAGAGAGAGAGGTCCTCCCTCCGCTGATTTACCCCTGATTCGGCCACAGGCCTTGGGGCTGGACTGGACCAGACAAGCCAGGAGGCAGGCGCTCCATCCAGGTCACTCGTGGGCCTGGCAGGGGCCCAGAGACTTGGGCCGTCTGCTGCTGCCTCCCCAGAGAACTGGATCAGAAGTGGAGCAGCCGGGACTCGAACCCCTGCTCGTACAGGATATCAGCTTTGCGTGCAGCAGCTTAACCCAGTCTCCACACTATCCACCCCTGGTTTGGGGCCTTTATCTCTAAAGTATGAGGGGTGATTGATGACTGTGACACTCACCATTGGCATTTGTGATTGACATCTGGGAGTTGTATAACTTCAGGCTGTCTGCACAAACGAGACTTTTCTAGTTAGACCCGGAGGCTGAACGGCCGCAGAGACGGACAGGCACCCCGAGAGTCCGCCCAGCATGGCAGCCCGGGCAGCCTTCCGGGACCTGTGGGAAGACCGGCAGGGGTTGGGCCTGGGGCTGGCGGCCCAGGCACCCTGGAGGCCCCAGGTCTGAGGTCCCAGGTGGTGCTGCAGCAGCCGCGGGCTCAGCTCACAGACTTTAACAAGCGGAAGCGCAAAGTGGACAGTCCAAGGTGGGCTCCCAGAGAGCAGGGTCCTTGCCTTCACCCAGAGCAGGGTCCTGTGACCCCTCTCCTGTTGCTCATGGCTAATTATCTACTTGACATGACCATGTCCACAGAGTATGCTTTTATTTAAATCTGTCTATAAGGCTTATCATGTTCCAGATTTTATATTAAACTGGGTAAATCAGTTTTTTGGATGACACATGGCTGAAATGGATAATTTAATCTGACAGCTGGGACTGAAGTTTCCAAATTATCTTTCATTGGAGATATGTGTGTGTATATATATACATATATAATATATATATATAAAATTGGGCTAAAACCAAAATTTAGGATCCCTTTAAAGTTCTATAATTAGATATGAAAGTCAATTAGACAAGTACAGAAATGGGAATATTTGATTTTTCATTCAGAAGCACCTGGAAATTTAAGTGTAACCTAAGTATTGGGTAAGACAAGGACTTCCACCTTTCCTTGACCCATGAATTGTAAAGCTTAAAAAAATGAATACTTGTCATTTACAAATAAGGCGCTATCACACATCTTATACGTACTTGTTGGCAGTTAGGTAACCTTGAACCCTGCCAGGTTCACCTGTAGTCATGCCTAAAGAAAACCATGATAATGCCAGTCTTATTTTACCAATCTTTGGGGTAGGATACATATTCCTTCTAATAAAATAATTTTAATGCAAAGAAATGAAAAAAAAAAACTTATCTTGGAATTGACTTTGACTGGCTGGCACCGCAGCTCACTAGGCTAATCCTCCACCTGCAGCACCAGCACACCGGGTTCTAGTCCCGGTCGGGGCGCCGGATTCTGTCCCGGTTGCCCCTCTTCCAGGCCAGCTCTCTGCTGTGGCCAGGGAGTGCAGTGGAGGATGGCCCAAGTGCTTGGGCCCTGCACCCCATGGGAGACCAGGAGAAGCACCTGGCTCCTGGCTTTGGATCAGCGTGATGCGCCGGCCATAGCAGGCATTTTGGGGGTGAACCAATGGAAGGAAGACCTTTCTCTCTGTCTCTCTCTCTCACTGTCTAACTCTGCCTATCAAAAAAAAAAAAAGAATTGACTTTGACCAAAGTTTAAAATCATCATGATGAGAATAATGGTTCCATAAAGATGGCCTTGCCCTGATCCCCAGAACTTGGGAACACTTCATTTTATGTGATAGAAAGGACTTTGAGGTGAGACTGAGTTAAGGGTGTGGAATGGGAGATTATCCTGGACTATTCAGGAAGTCCCCTGTAATCCCAGTAGAAGAGGAAGACAGGCAGGTCTGGTGATAGAAGAAGATGTGCCGTAGAAGTAGGGGTCCAGGGCCCGGCGCTGTGGTGTAGTGGGTTCAGCTGCTGCTTCCATCCCAAATGGGTGCCGGTTCGAGTCCCGGCTGCTCCACTTCTGATCAGCTCCCTGCTCATGTGCCTGGGAAAGCAGCAGAGGATGGCCCAAGTGCTTGGGCCCCTGCACCTGTGTGGGAGACTCAGAAGAAGCTCCTGGCTTTGTCCTGGCCCAGCCCTGATGTTGTTGCAGCCATTATTTGGGGAGTGAACCAGTGGATAGAAGATCAATCTCTCTGTCGGTCTCTCCCTCCCTCTCTGTAACTCTGCCTTTCAGATAAATCAATAAATAAACATTTTTAAAAATTTGAAAAATAAGTTAAAAAGTAGGGGAAAAGACTGACCACAAGGGGGCCACAGCCAAGGAATTGGCGCAGCCAAGTGGCCCCCTACAGCCTCCAGGAACAAAGCTCTTTTGAGGCCTTGATTGTAGTTCATTAAGACCCATTTTGGACCTCTGAGTTCCAAGATTCTAAGAGAATAAATTGTGTTAACCCACTAAATTTGTGGTGCTGAGTTACAGCAGCAGTGGGAAGCAAATGTAGTTGACAGAATCACATTCTTTGATGTTGTCCTACTTTGCCCACATTTCCCCTGCTTCCTCCCTGTTGTCTTTACCCAATGGCCCCCCTTTTTTAAGATTTATTTATTTATTTGAAAGTCAGAGTTACGCAGAGAGAGAGGTCTTCCATCCGCTGGCCCACTCCCCAGTTGACCCCAGTGCCCGGAGCTGCACTGATCTAAAGCCAGGAGCTTCTTCCAGGACTTCTGTGTGGGTGCAGGAGCCCAAGGACTTGGGCCATCTTTCACTGCTTTCCCAGGCCACAGCAGAGAGCTGGATCAGAAGTGGAGCAGCTGGGACTAGAACAGGCACCCATGTGGGATGCCAGTCCTGCAGGCGGCGGCTTTATCGGCTACACCACAGTGCCGGCCCCACAGTGTCCCTTTTTCTTCACTCCAATATGGAAACAGGAAAGGATTTAGTCTCATTTAGGGATGACTTTTAAGCTTGGGAATGCTGTTAGTTTTGTAAAGCTGTTAACCTCTGATAATGTAAAGAACTTTTAGATATTTGTAAATAGAGAAAGCAAAAGACCCTAAAATTACTAGCTTTTAATGAAACCTCTGGAAGAATGTGTGCTTTTAGGTGACTTAAAGAATGAATCCTTTACATTATGGACTTTTTCCTCTCTCCGTTGGCCCTGTATTTCTCGGGGGGGAGTGGACAAAGAGAAGTGGAGGAACTGCATTGACTCCGGGACAGTGAAAGGGCCGCCAGGGCTCCAGGAACGAGGTTGGGTCCTCTCGCCTCGCCTGCCGCAGACAACCCCTTCCATTCTTGCCTTTGAACTCGACTTTTTCCTTCTGCTCCAAGGTTTCCAGATGTAAATTGATCATAATTTTAGCTTGCATTTTATATTCCATTGGAGTGTTGGTGTGAAGCCCCATTTTGCAAGGTTTGATTTGCGGCTGCTTTCCCGTGTCTGTTGAACTCAGCAAGGTCTAAGGAGACCACTGCAGTGCTGACAGCTGCTGCTTCTTGGGTGCTGCTGGCTGTTGGGCCACAAGCTACTGCAGGGGAAGGCGGTACTGCTTCCACCTCTCACAGGAGAGAACACTGAGAGAGGATGTCCCCATCACACGTGCTCACAGGAGAGAACACAGTGAGAGAGGATGTCCCCATCACACGTGCTCACAGGAGAGAACATAGTGAGAGAGGACGTCCCCATCACACGTGCTCACAGGAGAGAACACACTGAGAGAGGATGTCCCCATCACACGTGCTCACAGGAGAGAACACAGTGAGAGAGGACGTCCCCATCACACGTGCTCACAGGAGAGAACACAGGGAGAGAGGACGTCCCCATCACACGTGCTCACAGGAGAGAACACACTGAGAGAGGACGTCCCCATCACACGTGCTCACAGGAGAGAACACAGTGAGAGAGGACGTCCCCATCACACGTGCTCACAGGAGAGAACACAGTGAGAGAGGATGTCCCCATCACACGTACTCACAGGAGAGAACACAGTGAGAGAGGACGTCCCCATCACACGTGCTCACAGGAGAGAACACACTGAGAGAGGACGTCCCCATCACACGTGCTCACAAGAGAGAACACAGAGAGAGAGGATGTCCCCATCACACGTGCTCACAGGAGAGAACACTGAGAGAGGATGTCCCCATCACACGTGCTCACAGGAGAGAACACAGGAAGAGAGGACGTCCCCATCACACGTGCTCACAGGAGAGAACATAGTGAGAGAGGACGTCCCCATCACACGTGCTCACAGGAGAGAACACAGTGAGAGAGGATGTCCCCATCACACGTGCTCACAGGAGAGAACACTGAGAGAGGATGTCCCCATCACACGTGCTCACAGGAGAGAACACAGTGAGAGAGGGTGTCCCCATCACACGTGCTCACAGGAGAGAACACTGAGAGAGGGTGTCCCCATCACACGTGCTCACAGGAGAGAACACAGTGAGTGAGGATGTCCCCATCACACGTGCTCACAGGAGAGAACACAGTGAGAGAGGGTGTCCCCATCACACGTGCTCACAGGAGAGAACACTGAGAGAGGGTGTCCCCATCACACGTGCTCACAGGAGAGAACACTGAGAGAGGACGTCCCCATCACACGTGCTCACAGGAGAGAACACAGTGAGTGAGGATGTCCCCATCACACGTGCTCACAGGAGAGAACACACTGAGAGAGGACGTCCCCATCACACGTGCTCACAGGAGAGAACACTGAGAGAGGATGTCCCCATCACACGTGCTCACAGGAGAGAACACTGAGAGAGGACGTCCCCATCACACGTGCTCACAGGAGAGAACACAGTGAGAGAGGATGTTCCCATCACACGTGCTCACAGGAGAGAACACTGAGAGAGGATGTCCCCATCACACGTGCTCACAGGAGAGAACACTGAGAGAGGATGTCCCCATCACACGTGCTCACAGGAGAGAACACAGTGAGAGAGGACGTCCCCATCACACGTGCTCACAGGAGAGAACACAGTGAGAGAGGATGTCCCCATCACACGTGCTCACAGGAGAGAACACAGTGAGAGAGGATGTCCCCATCACACGTGCTCATAGGAGAGAACACACTGAGAGAGGGTGTCCCCATCACACGTGCTCACAGGAGAGAACACAGTGAGAGAGGATGTTCCCATCACACGTGCTCACAGGAGAGAACACTGAGAGAGGACGTCCCCATCACACGTGCTCACAGGAGAGAACACAGTGAGAGAGGGTGTCCCCATCACACGTGCTCACAGGAGAGAACACACTGAGAGAGGATGTCCCCATCACACGTGCTCACAGGAGAGAACACTGAGAGAGGATGTCCCCATCACACGTGCTCACAGGAGAGAACACTGAGAGAGGACGTCCCCATCACACGTGCTCACAGGAGAGAACAGAGAGAGGATGTCCCCATCACACGTGCTCACAGGAGAGAACACAGTGAGAGAGGATGTCCCCATCACACGTGCTCACAGGAGAGAACACAGGGAGAGAGGACGTCCCCATCACACGTGCTCACAGGAGAGAACACAGTGAGAGAGAGAGGATGTCCCCATCACACGTGCTCACAGGAGAGAACACACTGAGAGAGGACGTCCCCATCACACGTGCTCACAGGAGAGAACAGAGAGAGGATGTCCCCATCACACGTGCTCACAGGAGAGAACACACTGAGAGAGGACGTCCCCATCACACGTGCTCACAGGAGAGAACACAGTGAGAGGATGTCCCCATCACACGTGCTCATAGGAGAGAACACACTGAGAGAGGATGTCCCCATCACACGTGCTCACAGGAGAGAACACAGTGAGAGGATGTCCCCATCACACGTGCTCACAGGAGAGAACACAGAGAGGACGTCCCCATCACACGTGCTCACAGGAGAGAACACAGTGAGAGGATGTCCCCATCACACGTGCTCACAGGAGAGAACATAGTGAGAGAGGATGTCCCCATCACACGTGCTCACAGGAGAGAACACAGTGAGAGAGGACGTCCCCATCACACGTACTCACAGGAGAGAACACAGTGAGAGAGAAGATGTCCCCATCACACGTGCTCACAGGAGAGAACACTGAGAGAGGATGTCCCCATCACACGTGCTCACAGGAGAGAACAGAGAGAGGACGTCCCCATCACACGTGCTCACAGGAGAGAACACAGTGAGAGAGGATGTCCCCATCACACGTGCTCACAGGAGAGAACACACTGAGAGAGGACGTCCCCATCACACGTGCTCACAGGAGAGAACACAGTGAGAGAGGATGTCCCCATCACACGTGCTCACAGGAGAGAACACTGAGAGAGGATGTCCCCATCACACGTGCTCACAGGAGAGAACACTGAGAGAGGATGTCCCCATCACACGTGCTCACAGGAGAGAACACACTGAGAGAGGATGTCCCCATCACACGTGCTCACAGGAGAGAACACTGAGAGAGGATGTCCCCATCACACGTGCTCACAGGAGAGAACACAGTGAGAGAGGATGTCCCCATCACACGTGCTCACAGGAGAGAACACACTGAGAGAGGGTGTCCCCATCACACGTGCTCACAGGAGAGAACACAGTGAGAGAGGATGTCCCCATCACACGTGCTCACAGGAGAGAACATAGTGAGAGAGGACGTCCCCATCACACGTGCTCACAGGAGAGAACACAGTGAGAGAGGATGTTCCCATCACACGTGCTCACAGGAGAGAACACAGTGAGAGAGGATGTCCCAATCACACATGCTCACAGGAGAGAACACAGTGAGAGAGGACGTCCCCATCACACGTGCTCACAGGAGAGAACATAGTGAGAGAGGACGTCCCCATCACACGTGCTCACAGGAGAGAACACAGTGAGAGAGGATGTTCCCATCACACGTGCTCACAGGAGAGAACACAATGAGAGAGGACGTCCCCATCACACGTGCTCACAGGAGAGAACACAGTGAGAGAGAAGATGTCCCCATCACACGTGCTCACAGGAGAGAACAGAGAGAGGATGTTCCCATCACACGTGCTCACAGGAGAAAACAGAGAGAGGATGTTCCCATCACACGTGCTCACAGGAGAGAACACAGTGAGAGGATGTCCCCATCACACGTGCTCACAGGAGAGAACACAGTGAGAGAGGACGTCCCCATCACACGTGCTCACAGGAGAGAACACAGTGAGAGAGGATGTCCCCATCACACGTGCTCACAGGAGAGAACACAGTGAGAGAGGACGTCCCCATCACACGTGCTCACAGGAGAGAACACAGTGAGAGAGGATGTCCCCATCACACGTGCTCACAGGAGAGAACACAGTGAGAGAGGATGTCCCCATCACACGTGCTCACAGGAGAGAACACAGTGAGAGAGAGGATGTCCCCATCACACGTGCTCACAGGAGAGAACACACTGAGAGAGGGTGTCCCCATCACACGTGCTCACAGGAGAGAACACACTGAGAGAGGATGTCCCCATCACACGTGCTCACAGGAGAGAACACAGTGAGAGAGGGTGTCCCCATCACACGTGCTCACAGGAGAGAACACTGAGAGAGGATGTCCCCATCACACGTGCTCACAGGAGAGAACACAGTGAGAGAGAGGATGTCCCCATCACACGTGCTCACAGGAGAGAACACAGTGAGAGAGAGAGGACGTCCCCATCACACGTGCTCACAGGAGAGAACACAGTGAGAGAGAGGATGTCCCCATCACACGTGCTCACAGGAGAGAACACAGAGAGAGAGGATGTCCCCATCACACGTGCTCACAGGAGAGAACACACTGAGAGAGGATGTCCCCATCACACGTGCTCACAGGAGAGAACACTGGGAGAGAGTGTCCCCCATCACACGTGCTCACAGGAGAGAACACTGGGAGAGAGTGTCCCCCATCACACAGTTCCTATACCACATTCACCATCTAAACTGATCTGACGGCCCCCCCTGCTTTCCTCCTTTAGCCACTCAGGACCTGTTTACTGACCTCAAAGCACAGTGCCATTCCTCACTTGATAAACCTGTCATGAACAGTGCTTGCCACGTGTGGGTGTGCTGGGATCTGGAAAGGTACCAATGAACAAGACCGACATGGCTCCACCCTCCTAAGACTCACCGAAATTTGAAACAGACACTAAACAAACTCTCATGTAATAACTGCAACAAACGAAGAGCACAGCCTGCAGTCAGAGTGTGCCAGAGACCCACCAGCAGAGGGGCCACAGCCTACAGTCAGAGTGTGCCAGAGACCCACCAGCCTGGGGGAGAGGGGGCACAGCCTACAGTCAGAGCGTGCCAGAGGCCCACCTGCCTGGGGGAGAGGGGGCACAGCCTACAGTCAGAGCGTGCCAGAGACCCACCTGCCCGGGGGAGAGGGGGCACAGCCTACAGTCAGAGTGTGCCAGAGACCCACCAGCAGAGGGGCCACAGCCTACAGTCAGAGTGTGCCAGAGACCCACCAGCCTGGGTGGGGGTGGGGGCACAGCCTACAGTCAGAGCATGCCAGAGACCCACCTGCCTGGGGGAGAGGGGCCACAGCCTACAGTCGGAGCGTGCCAGAGACCCACCAGCCTGGGTGGGGGTGGGGGCACAGCCTGCAGTCAGAGCGTGCCAGAGACCCACCTGCCCGGGGGAGAGGGGGCACAGCCTACAGTCAGAGTGTGCCAGAGACCCACCTGCCCGGGGGAGAGGGGCCACAGCCTACAGTCAGAGCGTGCCAGAGACCCACCTGCCCGGGGGAGAGGGGCCACAGCCTACAGTCAGAGCGTGCCAGAGGCCCACCTGCCCGGGGGAGAGGGGGCACAGCCTGCAGTCAGAGCGTGCCAGAGGACCACCAGCCTGGGCAGGGAGAGGGGGCACAGCCTGCAGTCAGAGCGTGTCAGAGACCCACCAGCCTGGTGGCTTTGGGAGGTGGGTGAGTGTCAGATTTTTTCATGTTTTGTTTGTTTGGTTTTGTTTTGGCAGTGTCATACCAGAATATCTCCTTATTATTACCTTATTTAGCGCCGGGAAGCTATAGCCAAGTAAGCATTATCTTTGATTTTCCGTCCCAAAAGATCACTGGCTACATTACGTAGAACAGATGGAGGGAGAAATGTTGTTTGAGACAGTTTAAAGACTAGGCGACTTGTCAGCAGTCCAGGTTACGGACAGCAGCAACGGGTGTGCAAGAAAGACCTGGGGGCAGAGTCCATAGGACTTGCTGGGTCTGGGGAGGAGGGAGGAGTCATGTTTCTGGACTAAGCCAGCTGTGTGCTGAGGGCACCCGTCAGTGAACTCGGAGACACTGAGGAGGCAGCAGTGGGGATGCGAGAGTGAAATCCCGGTTCCGAGATGACCTTCTCGGACTTCCCAGTGAGCGTCCCTGGGAAGTGGAGATGCCTGGAGTCGATGAGAAAGTCTTCGACTAAAAGTTGGGAATGTGAGGTCCGTGGTCATAACTGACAGTGAATGAGGCCAGCTGGGGACAAGAGAAGGCTGACATCCTTCCATAACGGGAGGAGCTGCGACAGCTGAGAAGTAGCAGCCAGACCATCAGAACAGGCAGGTGTCCCAGACGCGGGAAGGTGGCGACCGGGCGAGGGGAGAGTGCGATGTGCCAGGGTGTGCAGGAGCGGCCTCCACAGCCGACAAATAAGAACCCAGCCCCCCCCCCTCCTGCGGGGGCTCTGTTCCTGGGGGCCAGCGTGGAATGTCCTTTACGGAGCTGTGCATTGGTGTTTCCCACCACTGATCACCCTGATCGCTGAAATGAAGTCTCAATTAACACTTCAAGTAGTAATTTAAAAAAATGTGGGCCTAAAGAAGGGGGAGGAGCTCGCCCTCGTTGCGAGCTCTCCTTGGTCCTCTCCAGCAGCCGTGTTCAGACGTCTCCCCACGTGTTGGCCGCTGCAGACCGAGCCTGACTGGCTCTGCCTAGACCAGCCGGGTGGCCTTGGACGGATGCCCTCCGAGCCTCTTTCCTCTCCTGTCGGCTGTTCCCAACTTGGAGCCTCACTGTAGCAGTAAATAGGTAATGTGTGGGAAGCGGCAGCACGTCTAAACACGCTGTACGTGATAGCCGCCGTCTGCTGACCGTACGGCCACAAGTCTGCTTGCTTCAGTCTTGTCCTATCTAAGTCCTGCTGGAGATGGGCTGCTGCGTAGCGTCCAGCCCGAAGGCGTTTGCTGACGGCCTGCTCTCTTACAGAGACGAGGAGCCTCTGCCCTACGGGAACATAATGTACGACAGGAGGGTGATCCGGGGCAACACGTACGCCCTGCAGATGGGGCCGCCGGTGAGTAGGCGCTGCTGGCACGGCTCTCCCGCTGCGGCGAGGGCGCCTTTGCAAAACAAAGATGATGTACTAGGAAAATGAAATTGTAAAGCGGTTCAAGCCCAGTGCTGGTCGCCAGAGGCTAGAAGCAGTTATTCACTGGCACGGAGTTTCGGTGTTGCAAGGTGAAGAGTGGCGTGGAGATGGTGCCCACGGTTACAGATCTGTGACCGTACTTCACGCCACTAAATTGCACACTTAAAACAGTTAATGTAGTAAACTGACGTTGTGTGTATTGGACCACAGTTTAAAATACTAAGTAAAAATTCAAACCCCAGTTCTGTTTTCTTATGATATTCAACGAACTCTGGCAAATTGTTCTAGAAATTTCTAAACTTCTCAGTTTCTGTACTTTAATTGTTACAGACCAGTTTAAACTGTTCACAGCAGTAGTGTCTGGACCACCTTTTAGGTATCATTGGTCTAATACAGTCAGACTTGTGCAGATTATCTCATGCTCTAATCCAGTTAGATTTAATCAGAAACTAAATTATGCTGCGTTTTAATCACTCAGTAAATATTTATTGAATTGTAGGTCTTGTGCTGGATATGTAGGAAAGAGATGAGTAAGACATAGTGTGATTTCTTTAAAAAAAAGATTTATTTGTTTATTTGGAAGTCAGAGTTACACACAGAGAGAAGGAGAGGCGGGGGGGGGGGGGGGGGGGAGGTCTTTGCTGGTTCAGTCTCCCGTTGGCCACAACGGCTGGAGCTGTGCTGATCCAAAGTCAGGAGCCCCTCTGGGTCTCCCACACAGGTGCAGGGGCCCAAGCACTTGGACCATCCTCTACTGCTTTCCCGGGCCACAGCAGAGAGCCGGATCAGAAGTGGAGCAGCCGGGTCTCAAACCGGCACCCATGTGGGATGCCGGCACTGCAGACAGCAGCCTCGACATGATATGATATTAAGTGTGGTGATTTCTTGGCAAAGAAATGAACTTAGTGGATCTGTAAACAGCATGATCGATAAATGCCTAGCGCAACGTGGTGGTATTTAGCATGAGTCTGAACCAGCAGTTCCCAAAGCTGAGTGTGCGTCACAGGCACCTAGGAAACTTACTGACGTGGATGGCCAGCCCTGCCCGGCGCTCCTGCGCCAGCGCCCCCAGGAGTTGGGCGTGGAAATGCAGGCGGTTCTGGAACGGCCAGGTGAGGCCCAGCGTCTGGGAGCAGCAGCTCGGACACGTGAAGCAGACGTGCCTCTCGGCGGATGTGCCCTGCTGGGCCTGCACGGACACCTCGAGCTCCGTGCACGCCAGAATTCACCCGCTCTCCCGTTCCTCCCCTCACAGCTAAAAAGCCCTCAAGCGTGGCCCAGCAGGAAGGGTGGAGAGAAGGCAGACTAGCTAAGCCCCGGAACCAGAGCAACCAGGACGAGGCTGCAAAGGAAGAAGCCCGGCAGAACGGAGGACACTCTGCTAAATCTACCCCTGCTGCCGCCAGACATAATGAAACCCTGCCCTGCCCTCCCTGTGGTGTCAGTGAGGCTGCAGTGGGAGCTACACGTCCATCCCCCTCCACGGCAGCAGCGAGACAGTGCAAAGTGGTCCACTCTTCCCACGGATGCGGTATCCGCGTGAGTGGGGCGCCAGGCTGAGCGTCTCCCTCAGCATCAGCAGTGAGGAGTTCGGTGGTGCAAGTCAGCCCTCCACCTCTCTGGGTACGAGTCGGCAAAGCCGGCTGGGAGACGAGTTTTCAGTCCTATCCGGGAGTGACAGTGACGACCAAAGTGATAGGAGGCAGTGCCAGTCGTCGGAGCGTCAACGTCCTGCTACCCAAACACCATGGTCAGTGGAGCCCATCGGAGGTCTTAGCTCTCACCCCACCTGGCTCCAGTAGGTGGGACAAGTAGACCCTGTGCCCTTGCTGAGGTGGTGTGGGTGAGGGGGGGACAGCAGGGAACTGAACTTCCAACCCCACCCATGCTTGCATGTTAAAACAAAAAGGCTGAATTCCTTATAAGATCAAATAGGATCCAAAGTCAATCCAAGAATATCTAGGATACAATAAAAAATTATTCATCGCATAAGAACCAGGGCAGTCTACTGTGGGAAGCCACAAGAGATGACAACACCGAGGTGTCTCAGATGTAGGAATTACCTAACAAGGATTGTGAAGAGCTAATCATAAAAATGTCTCCAGGTCCAGCGCTGTGGCACAGCAGGTAGAGCCTCCGCCTGCAGTGCTGGCATCACATACAGGCACCGGTTCAAGTCCCAGCTGCTCCACTTCTGATCCAGCTCCATGCCAGTGTGCCTGGGAAAGCAGCTGGAGGTGGCCCGAGTGCTTGGGCCCCTGCACCCGTGTGGGAGACCTGGACAGAGCTCCTGGCTCCTGGCTTTGGTTTGGCCCAGCCCCAGCCGTTGCTGCCGTTTGGGGAGTGAACCAGCGGATGGAGGACCTCTTTCTGCCTCCGCCTCTGCCTCCCCCTCCCTGTAACTCTGCCTTTCAAATGAATCTTTTTTTAAAAATTTCCATCAAAAGTGAAAAATTATGAACACTATTGGAACAAACAAAGAAATGGAAGATACTAAAGTGAACAAGGTGAAAACTGTTTAACTGAAGAGGACGGTAATCAGGGTCAGGGCTGTGGTGGAGTGGGCTGAGCCTCCACCTGCAGCACCAGCGTCCCATGTGGGCACCAGTGCATGTCCAGCCGCTGCTCTTCCGACCCAGCTCTCTGCTGTGGCCTGGGAAAGCAGCGGGAGATGGCCCAAGTCCTTGGACTCCTGTCCCCTGGCTTCAGATCAGCTCAGCTCCGGCTGTTGTAGCCATTTGAGGAGTGGACCAGCAGATAAAAGACCTTTCTCTCTGTCTCTCTTCTTGTCTGTAACTCTGCCTCTCAAATAAATAAATAAATCTTTAAAAGCGGGAAAGTGGGGGAGGGGGGTTTCAAGGATTAATGTATCCAATATTTGAGAGAGAAAAAAGCCAGCGCAGGTGCTGTGACGTAGTGGGTGAAGCCGCCACCTGCGGCACCAGCATCCCATATGGGCACCAGTTTGAGTCACAGCTGCTTCACTTCCAATCCCAGCTCCCTGCTAGTGTGCCCGGGAGGGCAGTGGAAGATGGCCCTAGTGCTTGGGTCCCTGCAACCTCACAGGAGACTTGGAAGAAGCTCCTGGCTCCTGGCTTTGGCCTGGCCCAGCACCAGCTGTTGCAGCCATTTGAGGCGTGAACCAGCAGATGGAAGATCTCTCTTTAAAGAACAAAAAAACCCACTGAACAGTCTGAGTAGTACATTAAAGAGAGTTGTACATTAGCACATAGCAAATAATCACTGAACTCAAAGACAGATCAATGGAAGTTACCCAGCCAGCAGCAGAGAGAACATAGACCCCTCTCCCACAGAGAGGGAAAGAGGAGACCGGGGGAGCTGAGGAACGATAAGATAGTTGCGCCGTGTAATCCAGAAGTAGGAGGAACTGTGGGACAGGCGCAGTGCCCGAAACCTCCACTAATGTGGCAAAACACTCACAGAGCCGGGGCTGGCGCTGTGGCACAGCAGGTTAACACCCTGGCCTGAAGCACCAGCATCCCATATGGGTGCCGGTTCAAGACCCCGCTGCTCCACTTCCAATCCAGCTCTCTGCTGTGGCCTGGGAAAGCAGTAGAAGATGGTCCAAGTCCTTGGGCTCCTGTACCTGAGTGGGAGACCTGGAAGAAGCTCCTGGCTTTGGATCAGCGCAGCTCCGGCCATGTGGCCAACTGGGGAGTGAACCAGAGGATGGAAGACCTCTCTCTCTCTCTCTCTCTCTCTACCTCTCCTTCTCTCTGTGTAACTCTGACTTCCAAATAAATAAATAAATCTTTAAAAAAAAAAAGACTTACAGATCCAAGAAGCTAAGTGAACCTTAAAAAGTCATAAACCCGAAGAATCTACACCAAGACAAAGAAAAGTCAAACTTCAGAAAACTAACACCTTGAAGGCAGCTGGAGATGAATGGCGGAGCTGAAGACGAGCAAGGATTAGACTGGATTTCTCGTCTGGAACCTGGAGGCCAAATGGAAGTAGCCCGACATTTCCAGCCCTGAAGAACAGGCCCAGCAAGCTCTCGTTCTAATCCAGTGAAACTGCGTGCCAGGAACAGGGAGACAGGGCAGCCCCGGTAAAGGGGAGCCGAGAGCTTGCTGCCGGCTGCCCTGCCCTGGAGTGGCTGGAGGACGCTCTCTACGCAGAAGGGATGACAGAGGAGGCTCGAGGTTTCCTAGGAGGAGGAGGAGCAGTGGGATGCACCAAAGCAGTAAGCGTGCTAGCTCGCCTTCCCGTGAGGCTTTAGAATCATGTTTGATTATTGAAGCAAATTGTAACATTGCATAGTGCATGGAGGCGAAAGAGTAGAGATTATATATATATATTTGACAGGCAGAGTTAGAGACAGAGAGAAAGGTCTTCCTTCCGTTGGTTCACTCCCCAAATGGCCACCACGGCCAGTGCACTGCGCTGATCTGAAGCCAGGAGCCAGGTGCTTCCTCCTGGTCTCCCATGCAGGTGCAGGGCCCAAGCACTTGGGCCATCCTCCACTGCCCTCCAGGGCCACAGCAAAGAGCTGGACTGGAAGAAGAGCAACTGGAACAGAACCGGCGCCCCAACCGGGACTAGAACCCGGGGTGCTGGCGCCGCAGGCGGAGGATTAGCCAAGTGAGCCACGGCGCCAGCTGAGATTATGTTTTTATTTTAGAAGTTGGAAGAATAGGGGCCAGTGTTGGGGTGTCGCGGCATAAGCTGCTGCCTACAACGCTCTCATCCCACGTGGGATCTTTTCAAGTCCTGGCTGCTCCGCTTCCTGTCCAGCTCCCTGCTCGTGCACCTGGGGAAGCAGCAGGAGTTGGCTCAAGTGCTTGGAACCCTGCCACCCGTATAGGAGACCTGGATGAAACTGCAGACCTGGGCCTGGCCCAGCCCTGGCCATTGCAGCCATTTGGGGGAGTGACCCAGCAGATGGAAGACCTTTCTCTGTGTCTCTCCCTCTCTCTCTGTAACTCTACTTCTCAAGTAAATAAAATATTTTTAAAAAATATAGTGTAGACTAAAGACACAAGAGAAGCATCCTCACTGAATGCTCTCAAGGTCATACAGTAACTGTCGTGGAAAAACGGAATTATGGGCAGTTCTTCCCTTTTTTGTAATGCGCTCACTTTCAGATACAATTACTGGGGAAGAGCTATTCTGTGTCAAATATTGTGTTATTCCCAATACATCAGTATCTGATTTGTCCATCACCAAACACAGACGTGGCTGTTACTAGTATTCTCATCATACAGGTGGGCAAACTGCGTCCTGAAAGCACAGGCTGTTGATCCAAGCCTCAGCAATCTTAGTAGTTAATACATGGGGGAATCGGAACTTGCACTTGAGAGCCCACGTCTGTCAACACTTTGTAACACAGACACGGGGGGTTCGTGAGAGAGCGTGCTCAGTCAGGATAGCAGTGGCACCACAGCTTCAGAAACACTGATTTAAATGATGGAGGATCACACGTTTTCTCTTTTTAAAGAAAGTTACGGTTACATTGTCATTTCTGTTGAAGTGTGTTTAGAATTCTAATTCTTAGTGTTTTCATGCAAAACACTTTCCTATTTCCCTGTTATTCTCATATTTACCTTGAGATAGGCCATTACTGCAAATGACTACAAAATGACCTACAAATACCAAGTCAGGGGCCTCCGAATATTTCAGAATTTCTATGAATAATTATTTTTGTAATTCTTCAATGAATTTATTTTGTGTATTTGGAGAGATTTCATTTGGACTGGGGATGCTTTCTTTGTAAGATATATATGTATTTTTTTAATTTATTTGACAGATAGAATTAGACAGTGAGAGAGAGACAGAGACAGAAAGGTCTTCCTTCTGTTGGTTCACCCCTCAAATGGCCGCCACAGCCGGCATCGCGCTGATCCGAAGCCAGGAGCCAGGTGCTTCCTCCTGGTCTCCCATGCGGGTGCAGAGCCCAAGGACCTGGGCCATCCTCCACTGCCCTCCCAGACCACAGGAGAGAGCTGGACTGGAAGAGGGGCAACTAGGACTAGAACCCGGTACCCATATGGGATGCCGGTGCCGCAAGCGGAGGATTAGCCAAGTAAGCCACAGCGCCGCCCCCGTTAAGATATATTTTTAAAAGAAATTCTATCCCAACAAAATTCAGATTGGAAAAAAAAAATCCTATTGCTTTTAAATTTCTTAAGCACACGTTAGAGTTCGTTGTAACAGAGGAATCCTCCTGGCTTTCCAAGGCACCAGGGGGAGTCATGTGACAATGCCTGAGTGAGAGACAGTCCATTAGATGGGGTTCCGCCCCGTGTATTCCAGATAACAGCATACTTTGAAGTTACCGTTTTTAAAGATGTATTTATTTGAAAGGCAGAGCAACAGAGAAAGAGAGAACAGAGAGGTCTTGTAACGATGGGTTACTCCTCAAATGGCCACAAAAGCCAGGCCTGGGTCAGGCCAGAGCCAGGAGCTGCACCGCGGTCTCCCACATGGGTGGCTGGGGTGCAGGCATTTGGGTCATTGCTCTGCCCGGTGCATGAACAGGAAGCTGGGTCAGAAGCAGGACTCACACTGGCTCGTGGGATGGGATGCCAGCATCACACGCAGTGGCTTCACCTGCTGTATACAACACCAGCCCTTTACTTTCATGCCTCGCCAGAATGTTTAATTTCCTGACAAAGTAACCATAAATTTTAATCATGTCACTGAAAATCAGGAGGCATTATGAAAGATGCTTCTAAATTATCCAGAAGTCACTTTTGGAATGGCAGTGCCCATATGCTTTGAGAAATGCTTTCTAGGCCGGCGCCACGGCTCACTAGGCTAATCCTCCGCCTGTGGCGCTGGCACCCCAGGTTCTGGTCCCGGTCGGGGCACCGGATTCTGTCCCAGTTGCTCCTTTTCCAGTCCAGCTCTCTGCTGTGGCCCGGGAGTGCAGTGGAGGATGGCCCAGGTCCTTGGGCCCTGCACCCCATGGGAGACCAGGAGAAGCACCTGGCTCCTGCCTTGGAATCAGCGCGGTGCGCCGGCCGTGGTGGCCATTGGAGGGTGAACCAACGGCAAAGGAAGACCTTTCTCTCTGTCTCTCTCTCTCACTGTCCACTCTGCCTGTCAAAAAAAAAAAAAGAAGAAGTGCTTTCTAAATTTTAGAAGCCTTTTCTGTCGCTCTTAGCCTGGACAGCCGGATCCTATGGAGATGCAGAGGCAGCAGGAGGTTAAGAGGAAAGCCTTGGCCAGAAAACGAGCCCAGGAGCAGCTGCGACCACAGACGCCGGAGCCCGTGAGAGGCAGGAAGCACGTGGACGTGCAGACAGGTACGTGGCTGCGGCGACCCAGGCTCCTCGGCGCGCCGTCCCATCCAGTCTGTCCGTCCCGGCCGTTGTGTGTCGGCGTGTCTCCAGGCCATCCAGTACTTCTCCAGTGTTAAATAAACGAAAGTTTACGGGAGCACTTCAAAAAGTTGGTGGAAATGGAATTAAAAGGTGTTTTTGTTGCAAAAGAATTTGAAACTCATGCCTGGTTTTTTTCATTATTCACATTTTTGAAGACCCCACATACATGAGGATTACGGTGGACGTGACCGGAAGTGCGGAATGGGGTTTAGGAAAAGAGACTCTCACATGCTGTGTTTGCAGCTCGAGCTCTCGGATTCCGGCCTGAGTCACTGTTCTTCCTTCAGGCGTAGAGGGGGACGGCAGCGTAGTTCCAGCAGCGACTTTCTCTGTGAGGGAGAAACCCTCTCGCCTGAGGCACCTGCCTCCCATGGCCCTTCTCTCTCACCGGGCCATCCCCCAGCGCGACCCAGGCCTCCCAAGGCAGGGCCGGCACTTCCCTGCTGTGCTGTCGGCCGCAGAGGTCCTCCTGGCCCCGCAGGGTCCGCTGTGTTGATGGGATCTTGGTAACCAGAAAACGCTCGGTGCTTTCCTCGGGCTGATGTTAGTATCAGGACACGCCTGGCTCTGCCAGAGGCTGCGTGGCTTCATCCGCGTTATTTCTGGGCGGTCAGGCAGGCGACGAGAACTGTTTTCCCTCATGCAGTTGGGATTGTGGGAAAGCTGTTTCAGTGCCTGTTTCCCGTCTGCATCGCCCGTGTGGTACCATAGTGAATACAGGCTGATCAGGCAGAGGAGAGCTGTAGTGCCCACAGTTCTCAGGAGCTCATCCCTGGTGCAGCCTGCCTGGAGGTGGCATCACAGTGGTGGGAGATCTGTGGGAAGGAAAGATCACATCTCGAAGCGGGAGAATCCACAGGGAGAAGCTGGGGTCCCACAGGGAGAAGCTGGGGTCCCACAGGGAGAAGCTGGGGCTCCACAGGGAGAAGCTGGGTCCCACAGGGAGAAGCTGGGCTCCACAGGGAGAAGCTGGGGTCCCACAGGGAGAAGCTGGGGTCCCACAGGGAGAAGCTGGGGTCCCACAGGGAGAAACGGGCTCCACAGGGAGAAACTGGGGTTCAACAGGGAGAAGCTGGGTCCCACAGGGAGAAGCTGGGGTCCCACAGGGAGAAGCTGGGGCTCCACAGGGAGAAGCTGGGGTCCCACAGGGAGAAACTGGGGTTCAACAGGGAGAAACTGGGGCTCCACAGGGAGAAACTGGGGTTCAACAGGGAGAAGCTGGGTCCCACAGGGAGAAGCTGGGGTCCCACAGGGAGAAGCTGGGGCTCCACAGGGAGAAGCTGGGGTCCCACAGGGAGAAGCTGGGGCTCCACAGGGAGAAGCTGGGATCCCACAGGGAGAAGCTGGGGTCCCACAGGGAGAAGCTGGGGCCCCACAGGGAGAAGCTGGGGTCCCACAGGGAGAAGCTGGGGCTCCTCAGTGCCTTCTGAAGGCGCCCTCCAGTAATATGAGACCTCTGGCCAGGCCTCGTCTCTTAAATATCCTGCCACCTCGGTACCAGCACACTGAGGACCACGCCTCCAACACGCGTGTCGTTGGGGAGACAAGCCAAATGCAGACCATAGCACCATGAGTATAGTGGGTGTGCTGAGCATCCGCTCGGGGGTCCATACCTGCCTGTCTCCCCTGTTCGCAGAAGGAGTCCATGTGAAGGGTGACTGTAACCTCCTTTACAGCTGAAGGGGCTCGGGTCCAGAGCTGATGGGATTTGGCTGGATCCCGTGTTCAGCCTCTGACTCCGGAGTTCCATTCTTTGCGTGAACCACCTTGTGTTCACCTCACAGAAACTACTCTTTACGTGAGATTGTTTCATACACACACAGCTGTTTATAATCCAGCACAGAGGGTATATGAAATAATATGTGGACTTGGTGCATGACTTTCTAACATACCCAGCAATTTTCAAATCTTTGTATATTTACTGTATTTCAGTTTTATATACAAAACAAGGTTATTTTGGTGAAAAAAATTAAAATGCATGCATATGAGAGGTCTTCAGTATGGTCACGGGAAATGTATATTATGAAAAAACTATGCATGGTTTCAAATGTTTACACCAAAACAAACTTACCTTTTAATTCCAATGGACTTTTTACTGTTACTAACTATTCATTCCTACTATACTTTGCTTCATGTACATCTATGATCTCATGTTTCTTCTTTTAAAAAAGAAAAAGATGTCTTTATTTATTTGAAAGGCAGAGTAACAGGGAGAGACAGACACAGACAAAGAAAGAGAGATGGAGAGATCCTCCATCTGCTGGTTCACTCCCCGAATGGCCATAGCAGCCCGGGCTGAAGCCAGGAGTCAGGAGCCCCAGCTGGGTCTCCCACGTGGCTGGTAAGCACCCAAGACTTGGGCCATCCTCCACTGCCTTCCCGGGCACGCTAGCAGGGAGCTGGGTAAGAAGCAAAGCAGCCAGGACTCAAACCACACATTGTCCTGTGGGATGCTGGTGTCCCGACTCAGACCACACATTCTCCTGTGGGATGCTGGTGTCCCGACTCAGACCACACATTCTCCTGTGGGATGCTGGTGTCCCGACTCAGACCAGCACATTCTCCTGTGGGATGCTGCTGTCCCGACTCAGACCAACACATTGTCCTGTGGGATGCTGGTGTCCCGACACAGACCAGCACATTCTCCTGTGGGATGCTGCTGTCCCGACTCAGACCACACATTCTCCTGTGGGATGCTGCTGTCCCGACTCAGACCACACATTCTCCTGTGGGATGCTGGTGTCCCGAGCGCCACCTTGACACACTACGCCACAACACCCGTCCCTCACCTTTCTCCTTTAGTTCTCTCAAGTATGAAGTTCAGTGTTTGGTTCTAGACATTTAGTAAAAGTTCTAGCTAACAAACTCTGGTGTTCCAGATGCATTTAAAAAGCTTAGATCAAGGTGGGCGTTTGGTGAGGCAGTTAGGGCACTGCGTGGGAGGCCTGACTCCCACACCAGAGGGCCAAGATCTGAGTCCAGAGCTGCTTCCAGTCCCAGCTTCCTGCTAGTGTGCACCGTGGGAAGCAGCAGTGGTGGCTCGAGTGCTTGGGAGACCTGGGTTGAGTCCCCAGCTCCCAGCTTCACCCTGACCCAGCCTGGCTGTTGTGGACGTACGGGGAGTGAACTGGCAGGGAGATCTGTGTCTGTCTGACTCTGCCTCTCTGCCTTTCAAATTAAACAAACAAGCAAACAAAAATTGATAGTTGAATTGAACTCCACATTTGAGCAGTCTCATTCTAAAACTTATTTTCTGATCCATTTAATTCTGTTTTGGAGGAGCTAAAATTTCAAATACAGATGCATATGCTTGGAGTATGCCGAATTCAAACTCGATATGTATGTTACTCTTCTCAGAATTGTACCTTGAAGAAATTGCCGACCGCATAATAGAAGTTGACATGGAATGCCAGACAGATGGGTTTCTGGACAGACCACCGACACCACTCTTTATTCCTGCCAAAAGTGGCACAGATGTGGCCACCCAAATACTACAAGGAGAGGTACGGTACCTTCTCCATCATCTTCATAAATGAGGTAAAGTCAGGCTTCGGAAAAGCTTACCGTGGGCGAGATTCACTTCACATCCGAGGGGATCTACTTTCATGGACTTCTTTCCGGCTGTTATCTGTAATAGTTTTTCCTGTAATCGCCAGAAATGGTTCTGAGTGCCGTGTTCTGAGTTTTCCTCTGTGCTTGTCAGAACTTATTACACAATTGATTGTTGTGTACTTGCTTAAGTATATAGGTAGATTTGTCCCAAATGAGGAGACGTACTCCATTGTTAGTTACTTGTGGATTATATAACTTGTATGGAGCTACTCTCCTTTAAAAAAAATGTTAAAATTGCGTTTTCCTATCAATGTGGATACTTAAAGAGGCCAGTTTATGAAATTGAAAAGAAAGCATTGATTATACACGTAGTGAGTTTCAGACTTGAAGAAACTTGAAAGAATTGTCACTGAAATTGGGAAGAAAAATAACTCTTAAGAAGCCACAGAGAGGGGCAGGCAATGTGGCATAGCAGGTAAAGCCACCACCTGCAGTGCCAGCATCCCATATGGGCACCGGTTCGCGTGCCGGCTGCTCCTCTTCAGACCCAGCTCTCTGCTATGGCCTGGGAAAGCAGTAGATGGCCCAAGTGCTTGGGGCCCTGCACCTGCACGGGAGACCCAGAAGAAGCTCCTGGCTTCAGATTGGTGCAGCTCTGGCCATTGTGGCTAACTGGAGAATGAACTAGCGGATGGAAGACCTCTCTCTCTCTCTCTCTCTCTCGCTGTCTATAAATTTACCTGCCAAATAAATTTTTAAAAAGCTCATGAAAAAATGGAATTAAAAATAAAACACAAGACTGGCACTGTGGCATATCTGGTAAAACCACTGCCTAGTGCTGGCATCCCATATAGGCACGGTTTGAGTCCTGGCTACTCTACTTCTGATACAGCTTTCTTCTATGGCCTGGGAAAGCAGTAGAAGATGGCCCAAGTCCTTGGGCCCTTGCACTCACTGGGAGACCCGGAAGGAGCTCCTGGCTCTCCTGGCTTTGGATTGGCCCAGCTCTGGCTGTTGTGGCCATTTGGAAAGTGAACCAATGGTTGGAAGACTTTTCTCTCTCTCTCTCTCTGCCCCTGCCTCTCGCTAACTCTGCCTTTCAAATAAATAAATAAATCTTAAAAAAAAAGACAATTCATATTTTCCATGAACTTTTGAAGAATACTTGTATATCAAAAACTATTAAATGTGTTTTGTGAGGTTGTGCAAATAACTGTACTTCAACTATCCCTCAGAGTTTTAAAAATATAAAAACAGTAAATAATATGATTTTTAAAGTATATTTCCTCTCAGCCACACCAAAATTGTGCATCTACTCTATTTCAACATGAGGAACCTTAAAAAGACAATGATGTTGGGCACCAAAGTTAGAAAAGAATTCATGTTGAAA